GATATATTCAGTTGAAGGTGAATTAAAGAGATTGTAAATTTTTATAGTTTTGATCCCATGACAACCCATCGACCTGTGAAAATTCTCATGTTTGCTCTGAAGAGGCAATAAAAAAGAATAAAGTTCCAACTAGAACAATGCTCCCAGAAAGGCTCAAATACTTTTACACATCTGGCTTGTGTGCAATTTAAAGAACCTGATGCATCTTTTGGAAGAGTAAGTCAGGATTTTAATTTTGTTTTGGTAAATATTTAAGATAAACATTTTTCTTGTGGTTTTATGTGTTACTGAAATAAGAACAGTATTATTATTATTTTTATTAAAATACTAACCAGAATACTAGCACTAGCTAAGAATGCTGACAGGTTGTTCCAAACCAATTCAATATCCTTCTGCATCTGACTCAATTCATCTGTTCCAACACCTGCAATGCAAAATAAACACCTGTTTAATTAAGATGTATGCCAAAGCTGGACCTCTAAACCAGATCATTGGCAGCGTCAGTATTTTCCCCGACAGGTAGTCCACCGATACAAGAAACATGGGCCGCGCTAATGTCAGTCACACCATGGTTGGGTGGGGAAGAAAAAAATAAGTTATGTCACATCTAGATGCCTGAAATGGCACTCTCAAGTGCAACTTTTCTTGCTTAAAATTTTCAAAATTAATTTTTCTCCCAACAGATTTCACCCTGGCAGCTGGGCCAGGTATCCCAACGATAGGGTCCAGACCTGAAACAAAATCTTAAAAAAGTGTCCTTTCATACATATTGGTGAGCTCCATGAAACCTTACATGTGACCAGCTCCAGCAAAAACAGCCATTTGTAGGAAAAATTCAGAAACAAGGTTTGGTATATTTTGATTCTGCACAAATTCTTTAAAATTTGGTATTAGTATTAGCAATTTATTAGCAAAGTTAATATGAATATTTTAATTCATTGGATATCAGCCATGAAGGTTTTGAGAAAACAGCTTCCAAAGACTCCAAAATCAATAGTATATTATTAAGATTTGAATTTTAAAAATAATTTAAGTGGTTGATATTTTGCAGAAATGTTCTTCTATATATCCCCTTTTATAAAATGCAAAAACCTGAAAATTTTCAAAATTCTGACTTTTAAACATTTTGGGTGCTTTTGAGAAATTAGAAATTGCAAATGTATGGCAGAGTAGGTTTATCTGAGGATTATAGAAATATCATTCTTTTACTTTTAATTCTCAGTTGAAAGAAATTTTAAGCAAGCAATACAATACCTGCATGTTTCAACGTACTGTAGATGATGCTCATAAAATCAAGGAAATGGTATGAAATTTTTAATGTTTATTTTGCAAAACCATAGCATTTTATTAATACAAATTATACAGGTATTATTAAGAATTTAGTGAGTCATTCAAACTGCAAAAAAATTAGTTTTTTTTTATAATATTATTGTCTTAATGTCAGGAGAGATACAAATTTGATAAGCAGCAGCTAAAATGTAAGAGCTTTTGGACAACACTAGTGCTTCCTCAGTGAGAGATGGTGAACAAGAAAGGTATAGAGTCAAGCCCTTATGCATATAAAGAGAAATTATTAATTATGAAATTTGGATTACCAATGGATTAATTTATTGTACTGGGAGAAAGTTTCTAATATTTTTATACATATCTATTCATTTATTTAACACAATTGTGTAAACACTCTTGCAGAGAACAGCCCCAAGGGTCCAAGGTGCTTAAAACAGACATCTCTTCCCAAACCCTTCAAAAACGTGCAACTACCAACAAGTAAAAGTCAGGAAACACAAAGACTTTTAAGCTTTGTTTCCATACAGTCACTACACACTATCACAGACAGCTTTCAGTGATGCTGATCGGTCGGTCAAATCGGGGAGCCTTCCCGAATGCCTCAGGACTGCTACGCAGTACAACAATTGCATTGAAGAAAACACTGTAGCGACCATACAGCGAATTTAATGCACTTGTCAATTGTAGTCCCGCCCCCCTCCCCCCCCCGGACCCGGGCCATTTGCCGAGACTGAGCTGGGGATGTACACATAGTTGTGTCCCGTAGTGCCGGGACATACCTAAAATTTACCCGTAGATGTAACAGGCCTCGAAAGGGCTGGGAATTTTACACGTAGAGTAGCCAAGGTTTCGGGTGTATAGGCCCAGCCTAGCGCTGTCAAACCGGGTCTGGTCCTACTAGCCTACACACTGGCTTGGCATTCAGTCAACACTGTCTGTTTTGGTAATTAAAAAAATCGCCTACCGGTACTTTAGGTCTACCATCATGGTTTCATTTTTTATAGATCACGGTATAAATTACAAAATAAAAATTGAACTTCCAACCTCACAACGCTGAGGACAGAGGTGGCGGCGCGTGTGAGTAGTGTGTTGCGCCAAAAAAATGCCAGTACGTGAGCCAAGGCGAGGAAACCTTCTACTAGTATTGTAATGTATTTATTTTCTTATTTAGGCCTAATTTCTGTTTTGATATTGAATAATTAAATTCCATCGATCAGTTATTATTCAATCAATCAATTATTTTCTTTTTCTGTGATCAATCTGTCAATCTGTCTCCTTTTTGTTCGCACTTTTCCAAACTTCCATGCTGCATAGTGATACGCATGCGTAGTGCTTCCATCAAGCAAGCTCATCTACTTGGCCTAGCTCCAGCCTAGCTCTTGCGTGCTTTTCCCATTTAGACGTAAACTAGATTTTTATACCTCCTTGCTTCAAATAGGTCTTATCATCCAATCATTTTACCGGGACTACAGCGGTAGTGGCGGGGACTTAGCCGGGGGGTACATTAAAACGATGCCCCGCACTGCCGGGGACTTTTGCATGCATGTAACAGTTTTGAAAATTACATCCCTGGCTAAGTCCCCGATAGGCCCGGGTCTGTGGGGGTGGAGGAACTACAATTGACAAGAATACAATTGACAAGTGCATAAGGAAAATACTGACTATAGTTTTGTGGAAAAGACTCAAAATAATAATTTTTTTGGGACATTCCATAAATTGTATATTTAAAAAAAAAATACAATTAATAGGTGGTGGATAGATAATTTTACATACAATGTTGCTTCGATTTAGCAAGTTGACTTAATAACAAATTTCAATTTTTTTTAGGTTATCTCTTTTCGGCTCTTAGACTTACTAAAATAAAAAGCATTAGTTTGATGGGCTTCCTATTTACAAGCTCTCTAGAGACCCTTGGACAGATATTTCATCATCTTTCTAACTTGCATTTATTTGAATATCAATACTGTATTAAATATTATGATCTAACCCTTGCAATTTGTTATTTGTTTTTTTTTTGTTTTTTTGAATTTACTGATAATGAATAAAAGAATTTGATTGATAAATAACATTCATGACTTACCTGCTGCCTGAATGGAAGTTGAGACACGACAAGCAACACGGTATATTTCAATGACACCTTTAGAGTAAATACAACACATACATAACATATTTATATTCACAAAATATAATGCTACATTAAAGATTTATTTAAATTTCTTAATTTATAACTTATTTTACCAGGAGAATATTTCAGTAAAATATCAAATATCACAAAACATAATAAAGTATTACTGGTATATTATGTTTAAAAAATATTCAGTACATGTTAAACAAAACAGGAAAGGGTAGGGTTTGGAGAAGGGGGAGAATGAGATTTTTATTAAATAGGGACATCTGGATGGCCAGAAATGGCACTCTCAAGAGACTGAGGGTGCCATTTCCGGCCGTCCTTTTGTTTGTCCCCCTGCTACTGTAGATGGGGTCGGGGGCTTGACCTGTCCGATGGGGTGCCACCACTGCACTCTACGAACTATTCATATTATTGAAAACAAACAAATGAAAATCAAAGCAAAACCTAAAACATAATAATGATGATGATAAAAAAAAACCCAATACCTTTGAGATATTCAGAACCATCACTTGACTTCATGACTTCATTACAGACCGATGAACTGCTGATGTTGTTAAGGGTGTCATTGGCGTGCTGGATTACCTTAAGACAGCTCGTTAAACAACGCTTCCACAACAATACATGCCGAGCATCATCCTACATGAGGTCAAAGATCGCATGAGGTCAAAAATCATGTGATTAGACAATTTGATGCCATTTTTAAACATATAGTTCTCATTCTACATATTTGTGATTGATAAAATCTAGCCTGGGTTCCTAGGCTTTAATGGACCTTTTGCCAAGCCTTGTGCCTTGGATACAGTATTACTACTAAAATTACATGAAAACGAGTGTAAAAACATACACAAACATGTTTGTGGGCCAACATGTGTGTTTGTGAGACGCGCGCATTCCTTGTCCTAGTCTGATTGGTCAGTTTTCAAGTTTGATTGACATTCTGAAATATAATCATTGTTTGGCACTCAATGCGTGCCACACCCAAATTTTATTGGCATTCCATACTCTTTAATTTCTTGCAATCAGTTTCCATGCTATCAAATTATATTGCTCGTTGTTGGCACTGCACCAAAGGAGTAAAAATGTGGCGAAGACAAGCCAAACCAGTCACTCCTTGCAAATCGTGTTTCAGAGATAATGGCCAAAACATGTTGCAATGTTTAAATTTTCCAAATTTTACTGCACTAAACTTTATATATATCGATATATCATGCTATGTTGTGGTTTTCCCCATCTTTGACGTTAAAACAACATTTTTTAACAATTTGGTAATGGTCTCTGCTTGAGAATCGTACAGTAAACTTTTGAAGGCTGATTTCTCAAATACTGTACTGTTCTTTAAATAGCTGTATGTTTAAACTCTTGTAACTTTATAATGAAATGTCTGATTTAAATGATTTATTTACCATTTTATAACTTTCATTTTACTGCTTAACCCTGTCAAACTAAAAATAATTTTTTTTTGCAGTGAGTGACTAGTTTGGCTTTTCTTTGCCACAAATACTACAATAATGACGCAGATATAATTGTTGTAAGTCTAGATCAATACTTGCCTGAATATCTCCAGCTAGCATAGCATATCGGTCTCCTCCAAATGCAGGGGTACTAGGTATCATTCGGTTTGGACCAGGTGGCACCATACCAGGATGTTGTACAGTCATGTCTGCATGTAATTTAGAAACAAAAGCATAGACAAAATGAAACAAAATTGGTCTACATTGTATGCTGCATTACATATGTATGGCTCATGGATCAGCAATTTCTTGCCATGTTTAAAAATTATGATGTATTTACACAGTTTTTGTAAGCATTCAGTCCTATGTATAATAAATACTGTAGCACAAATCAGGTGCAGCCAAAGGCATGATTGTAATTACATTCAGAACAAACACCAATATGAAATTATTTTTTGAAACCTGAAGAAAAAAAACCTACAATGGTGGAAAAAACCACTACAAAGTTCAAAATCATATTTCCTGATAAATTTCCTCTAAAAAAAATTCTAGTGAAACTTGATAATAAATCTATGTAAAAAAAATCAAATAATGTATGAAATCTCCCAAACATTTCCTTTAGAAGTATTGAATATTTTATGTGATATGTAATTGATTTAACAAAAATATAAAAATTATTATGAAAGTATTCAAATAGTTTTATCTATTTTTTAAATAACTATTATTAGTAGTAATTTGGTAAACCATATTTACTATTATGTATTTGTAATAAAAACACACAAAATAATTACCAGAGGCATGAACATTGTCAGGAACAGGTGGTGCACTGCTGAAATCACCAAATGAATCATCTGCCACATCACCTTCTTCCTCATGTACCTTTCCACCAAGATTCAAATCCAGGTCAAAGGTCTTCAGGTCCAGACTAGCAATAGATTCTAACTTTCCAAGACTTTTCTTGTTCCCTCCATCTGATACTTGGTAAGTTCCAAAACTCTTTTCATTCTTAATTTTGTTGTTTGATCTTGACAAGTCATCAAATTCCACTCCATAATACTCTGCCACACTGCTTTCAAAACCACCAAAATGATCATCATGACTGGATGGACCAAAACTATCATCGTCTAAAGGTGGTGGTTCGTTAAATTTGAAATCACCAAAGTCATCATCATAATCATCTTCTGGAGCACCATCTTTGCTTTTGACTTTATCAGAATCACTAGACTTCAATGACTCAGAATTGCCACTTGATTTCTGTGTAAAATGTTCACCTTTATTAGTGTGCATGTTTTCAGTGTTTTCAGAGACCTTTTCAGTGTTCTTGAATATTGATAGCACATTATTGTCCTGATCTTGCAAGCTTGTGAAAGCTTGATATCTATCTACATTCTTCTTAGAGTGATCATCTACTGGCACGGATTGGAAACTAGCAAATTGGTCATTTGTATCAGTGGAGGAAGTTTGGAAATTTTCAAAACTACCTACTTGTGCATTACTAGTGGAAGCACTTTTAAAATCTGCAAAACCATCCAAATTTCCTGGAATATTCAATTGTTCACTCTGGAATCCTTGAAACTCGCTAGGTTTTCCAGTAGTGCTTGTAGGTGCAGTTTGAAAGTTGGCAAAATCATCGGCTTCTCCAGTTGCTAATGAACTACTGGCCGGAAAATGTTGAAAATCTGCAAATCCATCATCCTGCTTCTGGTCATTAGATTCTTTAATAACAGAAGCTTGAGAAAAGTCACCAAAATCATCTAATGGAGGCCCACTGCTTCCAGATGGATGTGGAAGACCGGTTGAGCTTCCGAGTGACATGGTATCGAAGTCACTTGCTAAACTTCCTTCTGGGTTGTTCTTCTCCAGCACTTCAGGCTCTGTGCTGAAGGAGATGCCTCTTAATGCAGAGTACTTATCAACCTCACCCGACAGTGCCATGAGGTCTGTGTCTGAGGCTGAATGCTTCACTTTATCAAAATCAGCAAACCCAACACTGCCAGCCTGTTGGAAGTTACCAAAGTCGTTGACGCTCTCCGACTTCTTAGAAGACTGGAATGAGTGTTTAAGGCTACCGGTATCTAAGTTGGACTTGGGTGCAGAGAAAGTTTGAAAATCTGCAAAATCATCATTATCATCAACTTTTTGACCAATTCTGAATGAAGCAGACATTTCTGCCAACTTTGTTAGTTTTGGAGCTGATGCAGATGATGGAAGTGTTTGGGCTACTTTATTATCCTGGGATTTTTTGTAGGCTTCAAAGTTGATGTTTAAACTAGGTTTATTAACAGATCTGACTTTTTTGCCTGAAGACTTTGCAGGTTGAAGTTTCTTATCATTGGATACAACTACTTGGCTAGTGTCTTGGGTTGAGGAAAAGTCTTTGAAGTCATTAAAGTCATTTTTACGATCCTCAAGAGACAATGAGAATGATCCCGAACCAGACTGGAATTCTGTGAACTCTTCTTCATCTGTCATGGACAAAAATATATGTATTAAAATGCATAATTAATAATTGCTAATTAATCAATTTTAATGAAAAATGTACAGGGCCAACAGTTAGTAAAATTTATTGTGTTTCAATTGAAAAAAAAAAACCCCAAAATGTTTAAATTTATCTTTAAAATCATCACCAATATATATATATATATATATTCCTATTACAGAGCCACATATGTAAGATTTTGCTTATAAGAAATCCTAATCTACTAATTATATACTATTTTTTTTATACTGTATTATCATTTTTAACATTACTTACAATAAATAATGTTTGCTTAGCCACTGAAAAATCATTCATAAGATATACTTAGGAAATTGTGCAGATAAATAGTAAATTATACCCAAATGAAGGCAAAATCAAGATACAAATTATATTTTAAAAAGATAGGTGCCTCTTCAGTGCTACTTTGAAAAGTTATATATTAACTTGTATCAAAGAATAAAGCACAGCAATAAATTAAATAGCAACTATATTCCATAACAACTAAAATATTACAATAGAATTGTTGGTCAGTTGAACAAAAGCAAGCCAAATTTCTTGAATTTTTTTAAACAATTTATTACAGCATGCAGATTGGAATTCATTGTATATTATAAGCTAATTTGCAATTTAAATAAATAAAAGTGAGCGATACAGATCAAATTCTGTTCAGCTGAACCATAAACTTATAAAACCTTGAAAAAATTATTTTATATCTTTGAAGCTCAAGTATTGAGAAAAGCACTATAAAACTATGTACAACTTAAAAAAACATTCAAATCATCATCAAAACATATTTAAATATATACTGTCACACAAAATGTACACCCTTGAATTTTTCAATTTTCTAAGCAAATAAATGTTTATTTTAAATAAATATACCATAGTTCGTCTGATACAAGCCTATCAGCTTAAACAAGAATTGGACCGATTTTGAGGGACAGGCTTATACCCATGGAATTCATTTTTCAGCAAAAAAGACAATTTTTTTTTTCAAAATGGCTGCATACTGTATTCTTTAATTTTTTCAATACTACATGCCAAAGCCAATATTTAAAATCTTTAATAAAGTATTTATGACACAGAGGTTTGTCCAGAAAAAGGCTGGTATGTGAAGTTGGGCATAAACTTGGGAGAAGGTTTATACCTGAGGTGGGATTTTACCTGATAAATTACGGTTGTAACTCCTAGACTACAGTAATTGAAACTTACTTGTTACTCAAATTAAACATTGTAAAATCATAACAGAGAGCCTAAAAATCATGCATTTGATGATAATGTGTATGCACATGTTTATAAGCTTCTACAGTTGATGTTGTGTTTGAGCACTATCATAACCATCACGAATGAGTCAAAATGGAGTTGGAAAGCTGTGCTAATGCTGCTCCTGCTTGTCCTCTTGGTAAGTCACTTTGCTCTAATTCTCCAGTGGCTGATTCAAGGGGGGGGGGGGGGTAGCCGGCCCGGGTCCCCCTAAATTGTTCAAAATATTTTTAAAAGTGGAGATATAAAGAAAATTATATTCAAATTTTAAGTCTGAGGGTGCAATTTCCGGCCATCTAGAGGTCCCATAATCACGAATTTTCTTATGTCAGCCCCAACCATTTTCCAATGTTAAAACAACAATTTTTAACAATTTGGTGATGGTTTCTGCCTGAGAAATGCCCAAAATCATAAACTTTGAAGGCTGATTTCTCAAGTATTGTATGTTTAAACCCTTGTAACTTCATAAAGAAATGTCAGATTTAAATCATTCTTTTACCATTTTATAGCTTTTTTTTTCATTGTTAATCCTTTTTTTAATAACTAAAAATCAATTTTTGTGACGAGTGACTGGTTTAGCTTGTCTTTGCCACACACATGTGCTCCTAGCTTGGTATGCGCTACACTGCACTGCGGCCGCTACGGTCCCCAGTTTGCCTATTCCAATATCCTTGTTTCATTTTCAACAAAGACCATATATCTACATTTACATTTTGTTATTTAATAACTGCGAGACACTGCAATACAAAAAAAAAAAAAAAAATATATATATATATATACAATACAAAAAAAAAAAAAAAAAATATATATATATATATATATATATATGTATATATATATATATAGGTAGAAAAATTGTGCTATAATTAAAAACTGGCAGACAGTCTGTGGAAGGTGTTTAAGTTGCAATCATTAAATCTTTAGAACAGAGTGCTAATTGACAACAAACACTGTATATTCTTTTGCAGTTATGTGAGAATTAACTTGCAGTAAGTATGGTGCATCCCAAGGCAAACAGTGCTATTTATGAAAGACGAAATGCTTAGTGACAGGCAAAATGCTTGGTGGCGGAGGAAATGGTTGGTGACAGAAGACACACTTGGTCACAGAGAAAATTACATGTCAAAAAGGAAATTCCAGGTGACAGAGGAAATTCCAGGTAACAATGATGATTAAACAACGTTTTAAAGGACAGAATGCACATAGCAATGATTTTTTTTTAACAAACCCTTTCTGTTTACCATACATTTTGCATCTAAAGATGATCTTTTAGAGGGTTCATTAGTGACATTTATTCAATTTTGTATATCATTTAAAACTCCATTTTGCTACATATTCTATTAATATATATGGCCTACATTATTCTGACGTATACACTATCACTCTCACAAAATTTCTGGCAAAGTGAAGAGAATGTACAGGTACTGATTTTTGTCAACTAGAGACACAAACTTACTGGAACTTTGTACATATATACACTAAGTACAATTTTGTTAGTCACTTGCAATCAAGTTGTTATGTACTTTTTTTAGCTGAAGAGAATGAAACATTCTCAGTAAATAAATATTGCATTCAGTCCAACAGACAGTCATATACTCACCTTGTAAAGACTACACTGCGAAATTAAAAATTAAGAAGGGGCAACATATACAGAAGTTGAAAACACTATAATTTGAGATTGGAAACCTAATCTCCGACAACTTGATCTAGACACATTTCTCTAGGGTACCGAAGGCTTTCTGCTGCCTTTTCGAGTTGTACTAATTATTGCAGTAACTATTGCATTCATTTCCATATAATTTCATGCAATAAACATTTGGTGTTCGCACAACTGTGAATGTGACGGTGGATAAAATCTGGGATGAATTATATGCATTTGTGATGGTGGAATGCTGTATTCAAATGAACAGGTACTTGCCAAAAAACAAGACAAATTGCTTTTTATGGTAAAAAGATGAAAAAATACAGTTGAAGTGGAACTGATGGTTCGGGTGTTAGTGTCTTCTAAGGAAGAGGTTAGTACACTCTACGATGGGGCAGTTTGATAGGATTTTAATTTAAAAAAAAAATAACAGCACACTACACCAGGCATCCACCTCACAAACCTGACGATAAGCTGGAGTCTTCAGCAACAGATTTCCATAGTTTGTCACGCGTGGTATCACGGCCCCATATCACTGGGGAACTGTGACAACTCGAGTTGCGAGACGGGGGGTCATGGAGGTTATAAGATTTCATCTCTGTGTGTTTAGATATGGCAGCAGTCACAACATAAAAATATAAACATTTACAATGAAGAATATGAACATATTAAAGAGGCATTTGTATCTTTTTAAGCATCAAATTTGTGCAATTGATGACATCTAAATATTAAAATTGCTGTCCAAAAAAAGAACTAATCACCAGTAAAGAAAACAATAATTAAAATATAATAAAATAAAATAATTATTACTAATTATTAAAAATAACTAAATTTGTGGCAAAGACAAGCCAAACAAGTCATTCCACGCAAAAAATTGATTTTTAGTAATTTCTAGGGCAGAGACCATCACCAAATCATTAAAAAAATTAACAACATAAAATAATGTATAAATATATGAAGATTAGTGCAATAAAATAGATTTCAAAAATGTTGTCATTACAACATGTTTAGATCATCATCTAAGAAACACAATTTGTGTGGAGTGACTGGTTTGGCTTGTCTTTGCCACATATTATGTAATACTGTACTGGTAAAAAAATATTAAAATATTGAAAAATATTTTTATAAAATAATGTGAAAAAATAGCAATAGAAAAAGAAAATTAATATTATTATGCCAGTCACCAAAATACTAAATAATAAAATAAAATTTTAAAAAATTCATTGTAAAATACTGTAAAAGGAAAATTTTGATTAATAGTCAGATTATATCATAAAAGAATGGAAAGATCAGTGAATTAACTATTTCAACAGGAATATTAGAGGATAAATGAAGGTGAGAGATAGAGCAATAAATAAGACATTGCAATAATGATTAGTATACCATTTTACCAGCTAAAATTCTTGGAATGAGTGATGACTCCCCACTAACCCTAAAAAACACCAGACTCTTTTTGTGCAATGTCAATCAAATTTAACAACTGGCCAATCAGAATAGGGCCATGAATACATGCTTGACACACAAACGCATGCGCTGTCCCACCAAGGGCTTAGCCAGCGAGCTGTACGGCCATCTTTTAGACGGCCAACAATTATTTAGGACGGCCACTTTTACCACGTCGGCTTTGACGGCTTAACCTACTCAGCTCCGTCTAGCCTAGTTGGGCCTTGTCTACTCTAGCAAATTCTTTATATTCTTCGAATCTTTCAAATGTTGTATTTAAATAAAGCATTGGACGGCCTATTTCGTTTTTCTGGCTAAACTCTTGTGTCCCACAAACGCATGTGCTATTCCACAAATGCATGTGCTGTTCCACAAACGCATGTGCTGTCCCTACAAACGCATGTGCTGCCCTACAAATGCATGTGCTGCCCTACAAACGCATGTTCTGTCCCACAAACGCATGTGCTACCCCACAAACGCATGTTCTGTCCCACAAACGCATGTTCTGTCCCACAAACGCATGTTCTGTCCCACAAACGCATGTGTTACCCCACAAACACATGTGCTGCCCTACAAACGCATGTGCTGCCCTACAAATGCATGTGCTGCCCTACAAATGCATGTTCTGTCCCACAAACGCATGTTCTGTCCCACAAACGCATGTGTTACCCTACAAACGCATGTGTTGCCCTACAAATGCATGTGTTTACATATGTTTAAGCTGTTGTTTTGTGAGACCCTCACAGCAAGAGGGAGCTTTCGATTTGTTCAATGACGCGACCCGAGAACGGAATTACTTATGCATGACTATCCTGCATGCGCAGATGACTTTTAGTGACGTCATTCCGTTCTACGTCCTACCGTCGTCACGCAATCGAAAGTTCCCAATTATCCAAGGGGCGGGGCTTAGCCGGAAGGTCCATTGCCACAGTTCATTTTTTTTGGCCCAACAATAATAATTATAATACAAATAATAATATTAATAAAAAATTATTGTGTGTATTAAAAATTGAAATATCAATGTACCTTCGTCTATATATGACACTATCTCTAGATCCCCACTTATTACATCATTAGATGAAAATGAGGTGACTATAGGAGGGGGCTCAATGGCGGTACTTGATGGAAATGTTGATGGTGCCAAGTTACAGTTGTCAAATGAAGCAAATTGCATTGGTTGAGTTGATGACAGGTTAGGATGAATAGCTGCTGCAAAACAGAATTAAATAAACAGAATGAATTTCAATTATGATTTAAAGAACACACAGAAGGCAATTATTATGCTATAGACATTAACTGCAGAAACATGCTTTATAATAAACTGTTAAGCCCAGCTTAAATAGTTAGCTTGAAATCGGTTGTGATTTTATTACAAGATATTTGTATATTTACACATGTATGCACTGCATACATGTACCTATTATGTACTGTAATAAAAAAAAGCTGATTAATATATGTATGCATTCATCTACAATAATAACAATAATAATAGTATGATTTATATAGTGCTTAACACCAGTCTCAAAAAGCTTGAAAATTTATTAGGTATTGGAGATTTCCTTAATAATAATAATAATAATAATAATAGTTGGAATTACAATGCATTTTGCACCAGAGTAGTCTCAAAGTGAATGGATGCTAAATAAATAAATAAAAATAAAATAAATAAAAGTGCTTGAAGCGTGGACTACCTCGTACAGTAACTTTCTTTTCCCCTAAGATCTCTCCGTGTCTGAGCTACCCGGTAAACTAACTGTTGCCCAGCTACTCTCATCTGTCCACAATATGTTTTAATATCAGCTACAGCTTTAATAATTATTTATGAATTTGATTATAAATTTTTATTTACTATATTTTTGTAAACAATAGTTAATATTAGACTTGCCCTGGTTTTCAGCTGCAGTTTTGGGAGCCTCTTGAAAAGGTGCAAACTCATCATCATCTACCCCTGCTGACTTGCTCAAGTCTGCACTAGATGGGAATGGCGTACCAACATTGCTTACCGCAGACTGCGTTTGTGTTAACTGTGTAGTAGGTGCAGACTGCGTTGGTGTCAACTGTGGCGTCGGTGCATCTCTGAAGTTGCTCAACATCTCAACTGAGAGAGGACTTACACCATTCTACAAAAATAAATATAGCAACATCTGGTGATAGTGGAATATACAGCATTCTATAAGAAAAAAATCGCAATATCTCGAGTGATAGTGGACTTGCACCATTTTACAAGAATCAAAATAGCAAACAACTCAATCGACAGAGGACTTGCACTTATCTCAAGTGATAAAGGACTGACACCACTCTATGAGAATCAAAATAGCAATGGTTTATGATGGTTAGGGTGTCTTGTGCATTTGGCTAGATTTGAACCCGCAACCCTGAAAATCAAAGAATTCAAGCAAAGGAAGTACACCCTAACCTCTAGTCACATAATGAAAACACAGAGCTTTGTACTGTACACCACAGCAAAAATTATTATAAATGCTGTTTTTTTTTTCTCTTTACTTTTTAAAATTTTATTTATATTATTTTTAATGCAAAATCTCTATTATAATTAATTCCACTTAAGTTCACTTATTTCTTCTAACAAGACAAATTCTGATTATTACTTATCTCTTTACTTTTAAAAATTTTATTTATATTATTTTTAATGCAAAATCTCTATTATAATTAATTCCACTTAAGTTCACTTATTTCTTCTACATAATAACAAGACAAATTCTGATTATTTTTAAAAACATATTCATTATAATTTGTATATTATAAATACAAACCTACTTTACTATTCTTATTTTTGGAAAAAGGGTTTATATATTTATTTATAGGCCTATATAATGTTTTGTTGTGCGGTGTGAGGGTCCCAAGTGTTTATCTATACTTCACACCTAACAGATAACAATGAATAAATAAATAAATAACTTTAATAACAATTGTATTAGCAGCACAAAAGATGATGATGATGATGTTGATTATCATCATTCACTGCCACTATCAGTTTGTCTATGATTACCATCATTGTTTGTTGAAAGAGCATGTCTATAAAAAAATAACACTGACCAAATACTATTATTAATGTACAATTATTATTAATTCATATATTTATAAACATTGAAATAATACAATTATCAATCATACAAATTGTACCATAACAAAAAAAAAAACCAAAAAAAAAAAAAAAAAAAAAATTCTGGTATAAACCTGAGCAAGAGCAATCAGTCCTAAAGCTAAGTACATCTCTTGCTTGACCAATTGACCAGGCTGGGTGTTGTTGACCAGGGACCAGATATGGCCTAACAATTGTTTTTCCAGCTTTGAGCACAACAGGATTGGGTAGAGCTTGTCCGTCTGAATTTCACTGCCATTCCAGGTGGCTTCTAACACCTGGTGATATACAAGTGGCAAGTTGGATTCATTCAAACACCTGTAAAAAGTGACAGAGAAATATTTGCCATTAATCATGCTTAGTAATATTCCTTCATTGCTATATTTTGTATATTCGTATGTTACATCATTCCTTCATTTAAAAACATTAAATAGTCAGATAAGAACAACATAGCAAAAATGTATATTTCATTCCCATTCCAGGTGGCTTCTTACACATGGTGGCAATTTAGATTCAATCAAACACCTTTACAAAAGTGATAGAAATATGTTACAATATACATAAATGACCATAAATTTGAGAATTTGTATACATTCACTAATTTCATCTTTATTTCAGAATTTCATATCTATATAGAAAGAAAAACATTCAAATAATGATTTTGAAAAAAGAAACCAAAATATAAATATACTGTACACATATGTATAAGAAAATAGCAGCAACATCTAAACCCTAAGAAGCCCATTCCAAGAACGATCTAGCTTAGAATTTGGGAGAGTATGCCATTGAATACATGATACAATACTATTGTCAGTCAAGTCAATTCACTTAAAACCACACAGATTCCCTCAATGTACCCGTAAAAGGATGGTACAGAGATATTAACATACATCAAACTAGCATTGCAGTTTCTAGTTTGTTTTAGAACCAACTGCAATGCATTATTGTAGCATACATGTAGCGAGTTAAAACAAGCAAGGGAAAAATTTGCCCAAATCGAGGCACAGTACATATTAACATAAAAGGATTTAAATAGTAGACACTTCACATTGTCAGAACAGCCACTAAATTTTCTTGAGAGGGCATTCACTCTTATGCATATTGATTTGCACCGACGTGTAATATCCAACTCATTGTAACGCTTATAGTAATTAATTATATGCCCAAGATTAAGTAACATTATCACAATTAATAAGTAATTATGAAGACGTGTGACTGGTGGACCAAGCAATTTACATAATCTTGGACAAAAGGGCATACATACTGATTTGTTAGTGTTGTAAATAATGTCGTGTATATTGCCTTAGAAAAAATATCAATTATATCATCATTAAGAAGACTATTGATTGAGTGATTGATTGATTGATTTAATTAAATCATTAATTCAGTCATTCAGACTACAATAATTAAAAAAAAAAATTAATATATATTATAAAACAATATAGTATCAAAAAAAGAGTAAAAAATAACGTCTACTGGTTTCACAGGTTCCTTTACTCAAGGCAGTACCGTCTTTTCTGTTATGCCTGTCAGTAAAGCTGAGGGCTTACCCCAAAATAGAAGGTGTCATGATGGCCCAGCATACTGCCCCAAACAGTACGTACCTGCATGCACACTGAAGTGATCATAGTTTTGATGTTTGTGGGTGTGTTCACCAATATTTAACTGGAACGTCATCAATTGTGTGTACATGTGATAACTATGCCAGGTGTGTCCTAATCAACACTAATTTTTGCCTCCACATTTTGTTAGGTACTTACTGTAATAGTAAACTTATATTTATAATAATACTCGTTTTTACATTATGTTCTTTTAAGCGCATTGAGCAAAGTACTTTTTGTACACGTTCCTTATGTGACTGGCTCTGGCAAAAACCCACCATTTGTCAAAAAATTTCAAAATTGAGTTTTTGGTATTATTATATTCTGCATGAATTCTTAATTAAAACAATGTTTATTTGATGGAAATTGGTTGAGTATTAGCATAGTTACGAATATGTAATTTAGGTCTTGACAGAACAGCTTCCAAAGGTTCCTAAATCAATAGTTTGTTAATATGATTTGTATTTTTAAAATAACTTTATATACTTTGCAGTTAAATTCAGTTATCAATATTTTACAGAAATGATCTTCAATAAATATATAATTAAACTGCAAAATAACCTGAAATTGTTCAAAATTCTGATTATCGAAGGTTTTGGGTACTAGTGCGAAATTAAGAATTGCGACAAATGTAGGGTTATGCCAGAGCCATTCACATATTACCAGCAACATTGGTGGACGGGAATGAAATAAAGATAACTAACTGTATTGTATTAAATAAATTATATACTGTAATATTTAAAATAAAGTTTCTGATTTACAAGCATTTGCCAAAAGTGATTGCCCCTAAATTGTCATCTGATTGGCCATGTTTCAGCAACATGGAATTCTCTCATCATCTCATAAAAATTATCATAAAAGTGATCAAATATTCAATAAAATATCGATTCCAAATGACAAAAAAAGTTTTAGATTTTTTCAAAGGGATAATTATTTTTTAAAGATATTTTCCATAATGTGATAATATTTGGGCCTGGGCCAGTGTTTCGTTATGAGTTAGATGTTGTCCTTCATCCACTCCATTACTCATCAAAAAATATACACATAAAATTTATTTGTTCAGAAATTGTAAAATGCTCATAAAATGGCATACAGTGTATACCACACTTCAGTAGCTGCAATAAACATTCACAACCACATTTCTTGAGTGTAAAAATTAATGAGGGTGCCAAACTTATGTTGCAAACACATTAGAATATTGCATAATGGGCCAGATGAAATCCACGCAAACAGTGCCACCAGGAGTCTTTGTCTCCCGGAAAATTGAGTGGACTCCAGCATACCGACAAGCAAGCAAAAATTTCACAGAAACTAACATATCTCCTGCAAATTTACTATTTCTGTAGTTTTTACCTCTTCTTAACAATTTTTTCATGGAAATCTGTGTTGATGTGTATCACACCATAGCAGCAAAATAAAATTAGATATGTTAAGAAAGCTCATTTAACCAGATCGCCTGGAAATAACTTCTTCCAAATTGGGACCCCTGCAGTGCCTTTTTATCGGTTGGTTGGTTTGACTCCTATCCAAGTGATCAAGTCACACACTGACATCTACGACAGTCATTATAAATAAAGTATTATACAACACCTGTATATTCTATTAATTTGATTGGTTGAAAACAGGTCATGTGTGATTGATTTAAAATGACTATTCTCTGGTTATTTGACTACTAGTCAATGATCGTTGAATAGTACCTGTTAATCGCCAAGACAACAAAAATCTGAAATGCAACACAACGCGAGCTAGAAAGATTAACCTACCGTATTAACACCTGCTCATCAACAAGGAGTTAATCATTCAGTAGCCCTCGCGCTCCGCCGATAAAATGGCAGGTCCATTTTGTACTGGTTCATATATATTATTTCATTTGGTGAAAGATTGGATGTTCTATTCAACTAGGTGTAGCCGAGAACATCCAATCTTTCACCTCATGAAATATTCTACCCCACTGTACTCATAAACATTCATTATTTGTGTATTAGCTATTGAAAATGAGCTCCACTCACCATTCAGGATAGCCTTTATTAAGACTAGGTGGAACCTCCTGCTGAGAAATGGTTTGATCCGCTGTTGTTGGAACAGCTTCTTCTAATTGGGTTGCTGCATTTTCTTCAGCAGGGGTGATAAATAGACCAGTTAGGCTTTTCGTCTGAGACCAATCTCTTGCTTTAATATCATTAGTAAATACTGTTTGTGTCTTTGGTGTTGATGTTGTCTTAACCTCATTCAGTGATTTTTTTTGGTTGAAAAGTTTACGAGTGGTTTTTGGGGCGGTCAAGTCTGCTGACTGCATCATCATGTCTTCTAATGATAAACCTGGAACAAAATGGATTGATTTTTATATAATATACACATGATCGTACAGTGTTAAATAGAGATAAAAAAATTAAATGACAGAATCTCATTTTGTACTTGAAATTATGCTATTTAAAATACAATAAAGACCTACAAATATACAAATACAGTTTAAATGCCTTCCAATTCGAGACAACAATGTGGACCTGAAATTGTGGAATGGTCTCCATGTCTAATGCTCTCAAAATAGAGGGGTCTCAAATTGGAAGGTAAACTTTATTACAAATAATAAAAAAGCAGCATCATTACAACTAAATTATTCTTCTGATGACAATTGAAGCAACTCAATCGAAACGTTGAGAAATTCCAAACAAAAAACAACAGTTCTTAAAAGAGTGAGTGGAAAAAAAAGACAACAGTTCTTTTCAGCACTATCTACATGGTGTACCGCAAGCATTTAATATATTAATATAAATTATTCCACATATTAATGTCCCATTTTCAGCATTTTCAAAAAAAAAAATTCATTAGTTTTTGGTAATATGAGAAAGACTTAACATATTAATATGAATTACTTATTTTAACTGAATTTAAGTCATTCCTAAATTGAAAACTATGCAAAATAAGAGCAAACATTTTATATTTTTGTAGGGAGAGAAAACATAGACAATATTGGCTAACTGGAACTACCTCAATTTTAAATTCAGTTATTACACACGAAAAGTGCCAACATATGTTCCCACTGCCAGTCTTGCAAACTCATGAAATAAACTCCTTTTAATGAATTATTTTACATTTTGTAGTCAATTTTCGCAGAGATAAGCCTGGTTCACGTCGAACTTTTATCTAGATATACATCCACTTAACTAGTTAAAAGTTCGACGTGAACCACTCAATTATAGCTAGATAAAGGCTTAAGTGACTTAAAGTTAAGTGACTTAACTTTACTAGAATAACGGTGAATTAACTTGCTTAACGGTCAGCTCGGATTACAAGGACACGATTACGTAACGTAGGCATCTAAGCCAGCGTTGTTGTATTGTACCACCATTATCATCTTCTGCCTGGCAACAACGAAATCCAACAATGCTAACAACAGCATCGAAGTAGTCTCATTAGTCTGGTTTTTAGAAATTATTTGTAATATTATGGGTAAAAACCCAGCAAACGTCCGTTTTACGAATAGCCGATATTACCAATGACCTTTGCCCTTTGCATCATCGACCAAGTAATAACGTTAAAAAGTCCGATTGCGTACGTTTTTCAAAGTGATAATGTATATTTTTCTTAATAATAAAATCAGATTTGTTGTATTTATTTATTGACAATTCAATCTTTTCCATTTCTGCTACAATAGTCGCTATTAATTAAGTTTCAATGAACTACCACCAATGCCAGTCGTTAAAATGAGCGCACATGTTTAGTTTACGATGACGAAATAAAAAAGTGTGTGGAAGTCAGCAACTTATTTGACACTGCGAAGCTGATTTTCGCGAAGTGCATGTAAACAACACAAGTGAGCGATCTAAAAACTACAAAACAGGACAGAAAGGTCCATAAAGTATACAGACGTTTAAATGAAAATTAAAACAATATTTTGTTAAATGGAAGAATGCTAGCTAGCGATCAAAATAATTAGTTTTTTATCGAAGGTAAAATTAGCTAGGGCCTAGAGAATCTTTTATTAGATTGCAATAGAACACGCTGCTGCACTGTCGTTGGTTCGTACTGGTCGGCTAGGTTAGGTAGTGGAAACTCACACCTTCTCTAACAGTAGTTTACAATTTTTTTTTTGAATGAATACCACTTGGTACTTGGTTCGTAAAATACAGTAGATGTTTTATTAAACAAGCCTTTCCACCGTGTGACGTCGACGACCTGAAACTGGTTGGCTGTTTATCTGGCTCTAACTTGGCATCGAACGCAATTAGGGGATTATCGTACCATGTTTCAAGACGGGTATATCTAGATAAAGTTCGACGTGAACCAGGCTATTTTGAATAGCAATCAAATGTAATCTTAAGCCTATTTGACTGACTGCTGTGAAATGTACTAAACTAATCTAATTAGTAATTAAGGACAATGCACTGGGCATCGCTCGAAAAGTATAATCAGGTGATATACAATAAATCGGTTTAATAAATGATTTATATTTCAGTAATGGTGGGATAAATTGAAACATTTTACAACAGTGGAAGGCAGGATCGTGCAACAAGATATGAATAAAGCGGTTCAACGCATAATAGTACACAAAATCAGCTAGCAAGATGCATGATAGCAGATGTGCTCTACAACCTCAGAAATTCCACGTCAGGTAGGGCAAAAATTACACCTACTGTATACCTGTACATGTTTCTCCTGACGCAAATCCAGTTATTGTCTATTATTCCATCACAACAATAACAATTACTATCAACACTGCAGTACCCGCTGCTTACTTTGACTCGAATTCAACCCTGGCCATCAGACGCAAGCTCGGTGGTCTAGAGGTATGATGCCAGGCTAGTGATCTGGAGATCGTGGGTTTGAGTCCCACCCGAGAACAACTTGCGATTTTTTTTCGCAGTTGTTTTCAAATGTACCGAGTATTCGGTACATTTCCACGTCTGGTAGGGCAAAAATTACACCTATACATGTTTCTTCTGACGCAAATCCAGTTATTGTCTATTATTCCATCACGACAATAACAATTACTATCAACACTGCAGTACCCGCTGCTTATTTGGACTCGAATTCAACACTGGCAATCAGGCGCAAGCTCGGTGGTCAGAGGTATGATGCCAGGCTAGTGATCTGGAGATCGTGGGTTTGAGTCCCACCCGAGAACAACATGTGATTTTTTTCGCAGTTGTTTTCAAATGTCCTGAGTATTCGGTACATTTCCACGTCAGGTAGGGAAAAAATTACACCTATACAAAGTCGTTGCAATATTAACGATACTTTCAATTTTTTTCCACCTTCTCAATCATAAACTTATTTATTCTCATAAATGAGTTGGTTTTATAAAACAATGAGTAATGCAAATGCATTTATCCTAAGAAAAAAAAATAGTGAAAATATGCAGGCACTAGTGCTTTAAATATACTGGTATTATTCCAAATATAAATATACATTATTTAACCCTTTTCACCCAACAAGCAACAATCTTAGTATATACCATGAAATAAAATGTCAATCAACCTATTCCTTCTCTCAAGCCACAATTATCTTGTATTCAAACCAGAAGCAAAAAGTATGATAGCTTTTCAACGAAATCAGATTCCAATATCAAAATGCATTTTGAGGGTCTATTAATCAACCAAAAGCCACACGTTCCTATAATTACCAAACGCCACTTGTGTTGCATGTTTACAATTTATAACCACTATACATCACATGACCAACCTAGTGGTGTCTATTAGGTGGATAAGTATCAGTACTTTTGTATTGCTAATGAGTAATAGGTTTCGATAAAATTAAATGAACCCACCTCTGTTAATAAAGATTTAAACATACTTTGTACACCTTTTCTCTAAGTTTTAACTTGAAAATCATTTCAGTCTCAATATTGATTTCTCAAAACAGATTAAAAAAAAAAAAAAATCGGCCTGAAAATGATAAATTTTTAGCATATGTTTCGCGAGCCGGATCAAAATCTTTGGCGGGCCGGATTTGGCCTGCAGGCCGGGGGTTAAAGCCCCATTCCCGGCAAAATTTCAGTTTTTAAGAAAAATCTAATTTTTGTATAATGTTATAAAGATTTATAAATATAATACGGAATTGCTAGTTTAACCGAATTTAGACATTCCTAAGAATGAAAAAAATGTAAAATAAGACTGAAATTTGATTTTTTGTGTTCCACACAAAAAATAAATACAGATGAATTTTTTATTTTGCGATAGGTCGGGAGAAGAAATATCGTAGGCGCTGAAAACATTAGCCTAGCCAACGCTGCTAGGCTAGGCCTAGCCTTACCTCGATTTATCACACATATAAACGGCCGACATGATATTTTCCGTTGCTAGTATTGACACTTGTGAAATATAATATTTCATAGGAATTATTTCAAATTTGTTAAACTGATTCTGATTGAGATTTTGACACTTAAACAAACATATCTCAACCTAACCGAACGACCGCATTGTGTGAGAATTCGTCGAGAAAATGGTAATATTTTATGAGAAATAGTCTGCATTTCTCTTTTTTTTTTTATTCTTTTTCGTAAATCTAAAATTCATGCCAATATTTTGCCATGATTTATAATAATTGGAGTAATGCAAATGCATATTTTCTAAAAAAAAGTCAGTTTTTAGTGAAATTTTGCCAGGAATGGGGCTTTAAATACTGGGGGTCTTAGGGGCTTTAAATTTGCAAGTTATTGGATCTGTCTGTGTCTCTGTTCTCTTGTTTTGTGCCGTGTTTTATTGTCTGTAATTTTTCATTGTCTGGGCTCTTTCCCTCCCTTACGCATGTTATTATTTTGAATATATTTTACCACTTTCTAGGGAGATTTATATGTTTCTTTTTATTTATTTTCAATCTCAATTTATATGTATTTTATATTTGATATATATATTTGATAACTAAAATAAAAGAGATCTTTAAAAAAAAAAATTTTAAAAAATATGGATGCGATATGACATGACCATATGAGGCTTGCCATCCCAAAACCAGCCTACTGTCGCTTAATGTTAAACTTGAGTAATTAGCATAAGAATGTAGCAGTATTGTATACAGAACTTTAGGATGAGAAGCTGTATTACTTTTACTCATAACTTTGGCAATAATAAGTCGATTCCAGTAAATGACCTATCATTTAAAATCTCATAATGTGGGGAATATGAATCAATTTGGAATGACAAGCCCCATATATGGGCAAATCAAAGGTATTTGTCAAATAAAACTTGACAGTGAACAGTAAGATTTTTTACCTTCATATACCCAATTATATTTCTATGTAAAAAAATGTTTTTTTACAAATGACAATAAATATATACTGAATATTGAAACTCACTTGTAATAACTCAAAATTGTTTTTGTAATGACCCAAAAAATGTTAAATATTAAAACAAACATTAAAATAAATAACAAGAAATAGCCTGGTTGAATTCTACTAATTTTAACAAACAGTTTAGCATATTACCTGTTTGTTTTTTCTCTGCTTTGGTGGTGGTAGCTGTTTCAGTTTGTTCTGTTGCAGATGGTGGTGATGTCCTTCCTTCTATTGTATTTGACTTGGCTTCAGTTTGTTGTAACATAATAGGTGCTTTCTCAAACTCACCAAAGCTTGTATCCAGAGCCGGAGCAATTTCTGTAGGATTCAGCTGTGGCACTGCCGCTGGTGGTCCCTGAGCAAAGTTACCAAATTCATCATCTTCTTGTAATGATGGATTCGAGGGCATTAGCTTTGGAGCTTGGAGGAAGCTGCCAAATTCATCCTGCGATTGACTAGTTTGTAAAGGTGGTTGTTGACTGGTTACTGTATGCACTTGTGTGGAAAATGTGGTTTGCATCTGGCCATGGCTGGAAACTTGCGAAACTGCAGTTGGTCCTTGGAGAAATTCTCCAAAGTCATCATTCTTCTGATTAGCAGATTGTTGCTGAGTGTTCGATGATGCCAGGATATTCTGTGCCGGAGATGAAACCATGCTAGGCTGGGACATCACCATTCCTTGTTGTTGGGCTCCTAAGCCAAGCTTAGCAGTCCCTGGAAGCTGAGTTGCTGCCCCAGGAATTGAGGCTCCCTGAAAGACTTGCATTTGAGAAGTCATTATACCTTGTTGGATGTTCATACCTTGGGCCTGCATCATCATGCCAGGCTGGCTCTGGTACATCCCAGCCTGAGTTAGCACCATCCCACCAGACATCATGTTTCCTTGAGGCAACTGCTGACTCTGCATGTATCCACCTATTTGCATCATACCTGTTACATCCCCTATTGAAAAATTAATTCAGTACCTTCATGTTGCTATTTATTATTATTATTATTATTATTATTATTATTATTATTATTATTATTATTATTATTATTATTATTATCTGTTTACAAAAGAAGATAAATCTTTTTTCTGATACATTTCATGTCCATAAACAGTAATGATAAAAATGTAATATTACTATCATTGTTATTGTTTCTTTTGTTTTAATCATGTTTTCTCTTTGTTAATGTCTATCAATCTGTTTATGCTGCTGCTGCATAAGTGAAATTATGTTTCTATGTGTGTTTATAGAAATGAAATAAAAGAAAACAGAAAAATATGTAATGTCCATTTTAAATACATTTAAAGTACCAATACATAATTAGCAGAACCCAACAACAATATTAAACAAAATTGGACAAAATCATAAAACACAAAAATTTAAAATTGGTTTTACTTTAAAATATAATTAGTACAATTTAAAGGAAAAGATTAATAATTAATAAAGACAGAATTTGAAGGAAAAAATAAATTTAGTTTGAATAAAAACACTACAATTAAAATTCAAGTGGTTAAAATAAGTATAGGATACATAAGATTTAAATGAATACAGATAAGAAATGCATAACAGAACATACTAGGTAGGTAGCATGATGGATCATTTTCAATGATGACCAACTCAGACTGCAAACAACGGTCAGTGGATTGGCATTGCATCGGGAGAGCACTTACACAGAGTACAAACAATTAATCACTCAACGTTTGGCCAAAGAAGCATACCGTGTATATTCCAGTGTATAAGCCACACTTGTGTATAAGCCGCCCAACCCCCCCCCCCTAATTAGAACGCGAAAATATCACAATTTTTTGTGTCACCTGTGTATAAGCTGCACCTATTTTTAAGGTCCAAACCGTTCCTATGTTAGGTTTTTAATTATTTTGAAACAATGACATTATTTACAAATGTTCACATAAAGAAATTTCACCTTTTTCGGCCGATTATTAAACAACAAACAACTGGAAATGTGTGTAAACTTATTCTTGTGCTAGGCAGCTCTAGGGAAATCCCCATTTTTTGCTAGACGGTCGTGCTACGTAAAATTTTTAACATCAATTTAGTTTAAGTTAAATAAAATCTAATAAAATAAAATAAAATACTTATTGAGTATTTTTATCTATTTTAAACAATCATTCTATTATTATGGTGACTATTAACAGTCGGTATTAGGCTAAAAATATTGGTAATTCTAGGCCTAAGTCATTACTACTCATAGCCCACTGTGCGAAGCACGCACCATCACGACCACGTTTTATAAACAAAAACAGAATTGGAGAAATATCGTGATGACGTATGCCTTTCTTCAATTAATTTATATAGCATAAATTAATTTCACAAGCTTATACTGTATTCTAAAATTATAGCGGCATCAATATATTTCTCTCTATAACGGTACAAGCCACCGGGAACCAGACGTTGAACAGCAAGTTTCACCAGCCCATGTGTGTTTTGTTGCCACATCGAAAAGGAAGCACTCCCGAAAAGTAGTTTGTTATTGTTTTGAGCGAAGCGGTTTCGAAGAGAAACAGCGTGTTTCAAAATTGAAAAATTATGAAAATAATTATTTAGACAACCCAAACCATTGCTTGAATGTCGTAGAAAATGTAGTAGGAATCCTAGTACAGCACTGTAGTGAGTATAATTACAAATACTAGGCCTTTAAACCGGTCCTACCCTAGGCTAATCTAGACAGACGGCGGCTGATTTTTGCTGCGGCTCGCGATCTGAACTTTTTGGGAGTAGGTTAATGACCGGTGTATAGGCCGCACCCCAAACTTCGGAGGGAAAATCGCGTATAAAATTTGCGGCTTATACACCGGAATATACGGTAAGCATAAAGAAATGAATTATATTACTTCTGCTAAGCATGACCCTATTCAGTGGCGGATCGAGGGGTTTGAAACAGGGAAGGACGTTCACAGATGGAGGTTCTACACCACATCAGCTCCACCATTGTGGGGCTAAGGCAAGTAAATTTATGATTATGGCACGTCTTGATGGCCAGAAATGGCACTCTCAGACTTAAAATTGAATATGATTATGATTTTTTTTTCTCCTTTTTCTTATATAATTTTGAAAAATTAAGGGGGGGGGGAGGGTGCAGTCTTACTTGGGTCCCCTTGGAACTACCACTGCTATTGTTCTTCCTATGCAAATATCCTACCTCCTGGTGCTGAGGGGGTTGAAGATTTGCTACCCAGTTGTCTACCAATCAAGTCGTCCAGTGGGTTCACACCGGCTTGCACACCCGGTTTATTCATGCTCTTCAGCCGTCTTTGTTGTTCTTGGAATTGTCGTTCCTTTTTGTCTTTTTCCATCTTCTTCTTCATCTCGTCTGTCATCTCAACAGGCTGTTGCTGTGGCATAGACCTAAAACATTACAAAACAATGCTATAGACATTTTGTTTTTGTAAAAGCATAGCTAAATACCAGGATTCCTTGGTGGGTGTTTTCCTGCGAAAGTCAGAAATCCAGCGGATCGTGCTTTGGTGGGACCCAGCATTCTAGCATTTTGGTTTTTGATGCACAGGGACAGGCTATCTGGTTATATTAATTTTCCTTTTTTCATTTTTTTTTACTTTCTTATGGAGGGGTGCTATGAGCGTTTTTTCTTAAACAGATATTAGTGATCTATAAATTTTCATTATTATCATCATACAGTTCTCCTTCCAATTTGAGAACCATGTAATTCGTGGCTAGTACCAACTTATCATCTATCTCTTAACACGGTAACTCACTCCATAATTCTGGGACTCCTCTAAATCAAGATCGAGTGTTAAGTGACAAAATTACCTCTAATAAACAACACTTTTGGAAATTAAATAAACCATAAAAGCTGTTAACAACACATGCGATGCAAAGTTAAAATGACAACAGTGAGTATTCACAAAATAAACAGAGATGACAGAACACAGAATTTTATAAGATTTCCTGAAACATCAAATGAGAAAAATCATAGCTGATGCAATTTGGCTGCTTTAGTACTGCTTTTATTATTACAGATACAGATAATTTTTTATTGTCCAATAATTTGGAAATTACATTGCTCACTTGCTATATAATTAATTAATTAATTATCTTCTTGAATACTTTAAATTAAACTCTCTTATCCCAGCTGGGTAAAATTAGAGGTGGTTATCTGACATTTTACCCTACCATACAACAACTCCTGAACCAAAATATGACTAAATATTAAAGGTAAACAGATTTAAGTCGTACTAAACTAAGATTCACTAACCTAGATTTATTCTTTTTTTCATGAACACTTGCACAAAATTAAATCCATTTTTATTTTCTTACTGTGTGGTACATACCCTGGGAATTGTCCCCGTTGCATCATGTAGCCCTGCATGGACATGTTGTAGGCCTGTGGTTGACCAGCAGCTCGCATTGCTTGAAAATCCTACAATTAAGCAATAATCAATACTCTCTCATTTTCACAATAATAGATCTTAGTACCTTGTTCAGCAAATCTGCTGCCAGCTAATAAAAATGATATTGAATAAAAATAAATTTTTTTTAGGGGGAAACCAGCACACACGCAGCCACAAAAAAAATGGAAATTTCATAATAATATAAAAGTTTTTCCTTTATTATGCCCACCGTTGCTTTGAAATCTCCAAAAATAAGATATGTATACAGTATTTCTTTATAATTGTATAAATTTAAAGCATTTAACCATCCCCTTACTACACTGTTCACATTCACCAATGAAATTTTATTTTTATTTTCTTTTCTGTCTGGATTTTTTTGGCAAAAATAGTAGCTAAATAAGAAAACAAAATGTTATTTTCTTCTTTTTTCCGCTCTCCTCTGACGATCTTTAAAAAGATAAGTTTCTATCCAAGGTCTTAAAAAAATCTTGCCTTACTTTGAAATATCAGAAAAAGATTTAATCTAACTGTTATTGTGAATAGTAAAATATTACTTCTCACTTTATTTTGAAATATCAGGAAAGTATAAAAGCTGGTCTCACTTTGCAATTTTGCTTATACAACATGTTACGCTATGAGACGCTGAGTCTAAAATCGTCTGGTGCGCGGGAGTTGAGGCAAGGTTTGAGAAGTGTTATGTATATATGATACGAAACAGGATCATATAAAAGCGTATATTGTTTAGTTTTGAACATGTTAAAAAAATTGTAGTCATAAGTGTCACTGTGTGGCTTAACGTATCATAAGCAAAATTTCAACATGTGAGACCGGCTTTAGATTTATGTAATCTTTTAACTAATATTGTAAATAGTATTAAAAGATTACTTCTTACTTTGAAAAACCAAAGAAGTACATAGCACTGTTTTATATAAGCACATAAATTGTTAATGTTTTTTTTTTATCAACAAGTTGCATTGTACAGGAAATATCAACCGTCCTGTTTTCATTTAAATTTTTGTATGTACTCATTTGTCTTTTTTTTTTTAAGTAGACAGAAATTGAGTACAAGCTAAATATGACAGGCTACCAGCAAAAACATCAGATTCATCAATAAGACCCATTTCTATTTTAATGACTAACTGTAAAAAGTTAATACATCTCAAGAACTATATAATAAAAAATGATTGCATCTTGTTGTTGAATCAGTCGAAAAGTTGAATCAGATGGATTTTTCTATTATAAACATGTTAATTTTTATATATTTTTACTTATGATAGCTTAATTAATTATTTTCTCTTTTTTTAGTATACAGCAATGTGTCCTTTATTTCTCTTGATTAATTTATAATTTCAAATATTTTTCTGTTCTTTAATGTGTTAATTTTTATATTTAATGTTTTCCTTAAAGCAAGGCTCTGGAGGAAAAACTTTTTTTGATATGTTGTATTACTGATTTTTTTAAGACAAAAAAAACCCCCATATTTGACGAAAACTTGGAAGCAGTTAATGAGATTCAGATTTTTGAATATTTAAAAACTAGGGAAAAGGAAGTGCAACCACACTTTCTTCAACCTTTTTCTCCCAGTTTTTAAATATACAAAAATCTGTATCTCATTAACAGCTTCCAAATTTTCATCAAATATGCTTTTCGAAAAATCAGTTCTACACCATATCAAAAAACATTTTTCCTCATGCCTGGCTTTAATCATTATTTTATAAACACTTTCTAATTTTATATTTTTTCTGTTTTAATTTAATTAATTAATCAAATTAAAGATATAGTTTTAGTTTTGTATTCTTTTGTCATTAATTGTATGTACTGAGGGTCCCAATTGATCAGATCTGGACCACCCTCACAAAAAACTGTTGAAACAAATAAAATAAATTTAAAAAAATGTGTAGAAAGTACAGTAATTTCAGTAATGCAACAAATATCAAGGCAAAAAATAGAATGAAGGCAAATTAGTGGTAGCCCTAGCACAGGTGGACAAACATACGGGCCACATGAAGATTGATAGCGAATTTGTTGCGGCCCGCGAAAATAAATAAAAAACCCTAAGTTCGCGACCCGTCAACAATCTTTGGCTCTTTGGCTAAAAAATCCCTTTGTTGGCAAGACACGAAGGTGTCATCTGTAAAATCATCTGTAAAAAGTAATATTAAAAGTGGTATAAAAAAGCAGTGAATGAAACACTAGAAAAATCAAAGTGTGGGTGTAGTCCTCAGTGTCAAAAATCACTCCCTCCAACCCCTTTTTATGCCAGCCCCTGTTCCAGATTATACAATCATGGTGATAAGCTGTCTGACTGGAATTGCACATTTTCTGGCCACTAGGGTCAAATGGAAAAACAGTGATGAGGAGGTCCAAGAGATACGCTCTGGTAAGGTCTGGGAGATAAGCAAACTGGCGACTAGAGTAACTGGAAAATATTGAGCACGGTCATTTAAAACAGTTCCAAGACACTTTCAGAGCATATATCAAAAAAAATTGTTTTGGTTGAACTAGCAGTGGCGTACTGGGTGCTCAGTCTGACTTAAGGGAACTCAAAAACGCACTCCTTCCCTTATTTGCCACTGTATCCACACAGCTACAGTGTCAGTACACATTTTGCATATAATTTGGAGGTTTTGCATTCTTACGAAAATGACAAATACAATTAAGTATCGCCTTCATTTTTGTTACCTGGGCAAATTCTGTTTGGCACTCGATAATGAATTCATCGAGCAGGGGTGGGTAAATATCGGTTGGAGGGCCAATGTGAATTTTTAATTTAACACTTAAGCTACGTACACATCAAGCCCGGGCCGGGCTTGATGTGTACGTAGTTGCTACGTTTTTGAGTTGCTACGTTTTTTGAACGATGCGTTCACATCACGCACGGAACACGGTTGTTTGGGTTAAGTATGTATGCGTTCGGGTTAAGTATATATGCGTTCGATTGGTTCGAACCAACCAATCTTGTTGCTGATTGGTCCAAGAAAAAAAAAAATGTACGATTTCAGGATACAAATAGCTCTCAGATCCATAGGTCCAGATCCGGAGTTCCGGATTGAAAATTGTACAAATTTGATGTGAACTGTCCTATTCTTTACCACTAAACCCATTTTTCATGATTTTTTCTCCAGACCGGAATCCGGGCTTGATGTGAACGTAGCTTAAGCGCTGCACCCAAAGTTTGATGTTTACATTGTTTTTAATTCATTTTCGCAGGCCGCAAAAAATTACTGTTGGGTCGCATGCGGGCTGCTGGCTGCACTTTGCCCACCTGTGCACTACAGGATCTTGCTTAGGTGTAAGCCATGAACTTTTTACAAGAGCGACCAGTATTAACAATTAACTTATTTCCATTCTTTTTTGCATTATAGAGTGTAGTTACCTGCGGGTTCATTTGTCTATGATACATTGCTTGATGGTACATTTGCTGTGACATCATTCCTTGTTGCATGATGGGATACTGCTGACGAGGCATACCTCCCACAACACCTTGCTGCATATACTGTTGTCCCATGGGTATTTGCTGTTGGCCTGGTAACATATTCATTCTCCCTGAAGAAAAAAAAATCTAAACTTCAGTCAGATATGAGGCTACATGTTCTTAAATATGTTTTTGTAGTATAATTTTATCAATCTTTCAACATCTTTTATGATACACTACAGAGGGTTCGTACGTTTTTAAAAAAGAAGTTTTCCAGGACAATTCCAGGACATTCCAGGTCAAATTTTTTCAAATATCAAGGACACATTATATCGCTTTACAGGAAAATATCGGCAATTTTACGATTGATTATAAAACATGTATGCTGTACTAATTTTAAACGCATGTTAGTTAAGTTGTATCTAACGCTAATTCGGCAGCGACTGATCTGTCTCTTTTTCTCACGCTCTTGGGAAATTCTGTTTTTGTGAGACGTGTAAAAATTTGTTGGGCAAAGGAGTTCCCACAAGCATGGGAAAGTACCCCTACAGTAAGGCAGGGCTGCATTGGAGTAGAATACTCTCCTCCTTTAAGAGAAATGTTCACGGATGCATAGTGGGTACAATTAGTAGGTGGCCTGTTGTAGCTGCTGCTGTGCAAACAAACCTGGGCCTGATCTAGCACCACATCCAGATCTTAGCACCACATACAATATTTCTTCATGTTACACTAGAAAATTACATTTCAAAAGCCCATAATACTTAATATTAACCCATCCTAACTGAAGTGATCTGATTGTGCGCAGTGGCAAAGTATGCTTAGCCTACCAGACAGACTGTCCTGAGACGACATTCATTTGTCTTGGTGATCAAAATAAACGATTCCATTTGCTAGTCATATCCATAACACAATATATAATATACAGTAGTTACCTGTTTAGTCATAAAATTATTACATTGGGAAGTATTTGTGGTTCATTATTGTAGGATTGTGGATTGTGCAGAACTAATAGTGATCAACAAACCCTCAGGCCTTGGCTGGCCTGGCATTGCACAAGGTATGATTTCAAGCTTAAAATCACAGATTAAAATCAACTTTTTTTTTTAATGTACAGCATTAAAATATTACATAAAAGTCAGCTATATATATAGTACACACTAACTTTTGATTTTTAAAAAAATAAATGATATTCTCAAATAAATTACTTAACAAATGAAGTCTAATCATGATTTACAGAAATTTATGTTTTGGTTTAATATCTCATAGAGATGATGTCACTACCCTGAAGTAACCAAGCGCAAATGGTGAATTCATCATCTATTACAATATACTTACCAGGACTTGGTGCTTGAGGATTTCTATAAGTATAAATAACAAGGGGAAAAAATAAATATTATTGTTATTATTCAGTTAATTAATCAGGTAATACACTGTTAAAAAGAAAAGTCAATGGTTAGCATATCACTAGGATATATTGGTTCAAGTGGGCCTTTATCTTTTTTTTCAGTTTAATTTATTCATTCACCAAAAGCCAACAAGGATATTATCATCAAAATGCATAGTCACACCAAATGGATACCCTTTAATTTATAAATTGACAAAACATGTTGTCAGCTTTAACACTATCATTTATTATTAATACTTTTAATTATACACATGTCTAGGCCTATACATTCTATATATTATAACTATTAGTGTAGGATTATTAATTTTATTGCTCCTAGCCTAGGCCTATGATGAATCAAATTGATCGAAAACATGCAATAGTGGCATTACTGCGTTTATGGCCCGAAGTAGTGCAATGCATACAGAGCCTGGAAATTCAAACAGTCTGAAAACTATTTCCTAATCATTGTAGAAACATGGATGAGGCCTAGGGCCTACTACTTGGGTGTCTGAAGGCCTAGGCCTATCCCTTCACTAGCTGTTTATCGTGCGCGTAAGCCTAGCGTAGGCGTTGTAAGGCCAATGGAGAAGGGGTGGTGCCGCGTCAAAAAAGCCTAGCCTAAAAAAAGTTTGGAAATATGACAAGAGAATAGTAAGCACCATCATCCCAAATACCAGTATATTAATAATAAGTTCTGAACAATAACTTAAATTTATTATTACATAATTATGACTAAAATACACATTTTAACATTAATTTTATAATTGTTACCTGTACGCCATATCGGCTTCAAAAGTTTGCTGCCCTCTAATGGTTGAACTTAAATCTTGCTCGTCGGATCGTCTCTCGTGTCCGTATCAAAACAAACCGCTGCAGGCCTACCGTTCTCACAGCCTAGGTCTAGAACAATACCAAAATAAAGCAAAAAAAAAAAAAACGCAACTACTACTGTATTGTATTTGGCCTACATACCATTAAGCTTAGTCATGGGTATAGTGTACAGTATTTTTAACTCATAAATACATAAATAGGTAAGTATAAAGGCATACATTATTATAGGGAGGCCTGGACCTAGTCCTAGGGCCTACGGCTACGCTCTCTGGTCGTCCTTATTCATGATCATACCTTTGACTTGTGTAGCTCAGTCGGCTAGACCTAAACTGGTGGTAGAAACTGTGTAAGTGCTGAACCGTACAGATATCTCTTGGCCCTCGGTTATTGCCATCGCCAGGGGTGAATCCAGAATTTTTCAAAAGGGGAGAAAAACCTTTTCAGAATAGATAAGTGAATACTAATAGCACTAATTTCAATATATGCACTGAAATTTTAAAATTTAGTGGAAAACAGGGGAGCATGTTCCCCCGCCCATACTATGTACCCTTCACAGGATCCATGCCTGATCGCTGCTCTCGACCTGGAGTTTAAGCTGGAGGGCTGAAATGCAAGTTTTAAAAGCATACCGTTTTTCGGATGAGATGTTCAAGCCATTTGTCCCTTGTGCAAAATGGTCCATATATATGTGCACATTAAAGAACGAAATACACTCTTTGGAAAAGAGTAGAGGATTGCCTCCTTATGTACTGCCCAATTCACCACCAGAAGGACCCCAATGACCTAAGTTTCAGGACTTTGTATCCTTGGTGTGTATCACACCGAAGAAATCCATATCCAATTTCATAAATAATCTTAAAAAAATTAAAAGCAATTGTTCTGTGATCTAATTCAAAATGTTTATATTTGATTCTTTTTCACAGGACTTTTTTCTACATGCCTTCTTTAATAAGTTTGGTCCAGTATGATGGAATTTTTGAGTGATGGTTTTCATATAAGCATTGCCTGTGCATGTCTGATTCCAGTTATCTTTCTACTATATACAAAAAAGGTCTGGAAACACTCAGCATCCCGCAAGAAACACATAGACAATGGAAATTACTCAAAATGTATCTCTCCAAACTGTGTTCGCTGCCAGAATTATGGACAACTGACTAATCAGTTAAAGGACAAGTTTGATAGGCTTTCACAAAGTATTGAAGGGGATTTATCTAGGATACAAGAAGCTATCGATGAAGATGATGAAGCAAAGGAAAAACGAATGAAACAGGATCCTAAACAGCAACCGAATACACTTTTCTTACCTGGATTGCACCCAATTCAACCCCTTTTCACAGACAATACAATTTTAGCGCAAGATGCTCTGACAATTAGCAATAATAACCAGGATATTCTCCTGGAATTTTTCGAGATTTTTGATAATTTGTTTAGTGGTGATGTCACAGGTTGGCTAAGTAATTCTGTACCTAGTGGGGATTGGTTTGTTTTCCATTTATACAACCAAGGTGTCAAAGTGCAAGAAAACTGTGACAGATGTCCGTTAACCACAGTGATTTTAGAGAAGAATTTGAAGAGATTCATGAGGGGGAATGCATTTGGAAATGCAGCATTTTCAGTGCTGCAGCCTGGAACCCACATAACTGAGCACTTTGGTCCATGCAATGTACGAGTTAGGTGTCATCTAGGTAAGATTGATTCTTCTGAATTAGTGATGCCCAAGCAATTTTTTTCTGATATACAAAATTGGTCCTCTGTCATCTCTCTATATTCTTGTAATGCAAGTTCTCTTAAAAGTGGAAAAGAACAAGATGTCGAATGTGCATAAGCCTGATTTTGCGGTATGTGGTTATAGGAAACAGATTATGCTACAAATGCTCTGTGGAAGCATTTGTTATTTTTTATTTTCAGACCAACTATAGAGATAAGCTATAAAATATAGGTTCCCAAGCCCATAGGCAGGACTTTTAAAAGGGAAGGGTTCTAATTTTTCACACAAGGGCACATTTGAGTCATTACCCAACTCTGCCCCACATGTTTGGGTTAAACATATATAACACCTCAGATGTCCAGAAATGCAATAAAAATTACCGCTGGACAGAATTCTCATTTACAAATGGTTGTGTGTGTTTTTTTAACAGGTCTTCTTACTCCTCCAAATTGTTGGCTGAAAGTAAATGGCATTCATCAATATTGGACACAGGGAGAATGCTTCTTATTTGACGACTCGTTCCTTCATGAAGCAAAGCATAGTGGATCTAAATCAGATGAACCCAGAGCAGTGTTTATTGTTGACCTGTGGCATCCCGATATTTCAAACGCAGAAATGGCGTGCTTGAACAAATTATTTTCTTTGGTATAAAATAATAAATGCAGCAACCAAATTATTAGGTACAGTACAGTATTTATGTTATGTTGCATTTACTAACTGTTACAAACACATCCAGTAAATTGTATTCGCTTTCCATATATGTTTTAGAATACATATTGAGGACCAGCAAAGCAGTTGCAACAAATTTAAACACAAACTACAACAAATTATTTTTTTCAAAATTGCATGTAGACAACAGTTGTTTGGTTAGTGAGACGTCTACTACATACAAACTCATCAGGGGCGGATCCGGAGATGTTCAAAAGCGGTTGTAAAAGAATATGATAATAAAGTACCTTTTTTAAGTTTATCTTTTTACAATTTTTGTAGTTTAAGAGTATTTAAGTGTTTTGTTTTTTGTTCCTTAAAGTCGCAACTCCCTATACTTGAGCCGGCGTTGCCACCTTAGCAGTGCACGGTAGTAGAGCCGAGGCTTATCCAAGGTGGAAGCTACCGGAGCCCAGCATACTGTCGCCGGAGCACCTGCGTGTACGCGGTAGTGGTGGTGACGCTGTCTCAACAACAGGAGTGCGCATTTTTCAAGCTGCTGCTTGGTTTTTTTCCATTCTTGGTCTGCCTGTTTTTGAAGGCTTAATTTATCAAATATTTATTTATTTATTTATTTTCTATTTGTTTATTTATTTACTTTATTCATTTATTTATATTTATTTAACTTATAATAAATAAAATAAAAAAAATATTCTGATTAATATAGGCTCATTAATATAAGATATAATATAATTTAATTTTTATAATTCATGGTCCTACCTTTTTTCGATGCCTTGAGACGATTTTATTGTGGAAGGCGCACTACAAATATCTTACCATTACCATTAATAATAGTAACAAAGGATAAATAAATCATAACAGGGGTTTAAGATGATTCGTCACACTTTTATAGTATGAATTCTTAATTTCTTCATTCTAGTGTGCTAAATCTATTGAACGTTTAATCTATCAATTACTTCAAGGTTGCATGGTACACCAAACCATACTTTTCTACACTACCGATCTACCAAGCATGCTTGATGGGGTTTCCATGGAAACTATGAACTTTTTTTAGAATGCGAGGCTGCTAAACTCATTACGGCAGCCTTCAGTAGCCACTTTTTCCTACTAACTGGAACAAACCTTATGTATTCTACATTATCTAGACTTTCGTATCTAGTTATGCAGTACCGTAGTACTGTACTTTATTATAAACGTGTGTAACTTTAAAACATTTCTTATACTAAATCAACGTTGACGACCTACATACCCTAGTTAATTATAATTATATAGCGTTACTCATAATTCGGTTATCCTCATTTATGAAGAGGAAGTTTTATATAGCACTTAAATCTATATTTCTTTGCATTAACAACATTAATAAAGGTCGACTGTATTATCTGCAATATTAATATTATTGCATTTATTCTTTTCTAAACTTTACATACCTAAAAAAACAGTACACAGTAATGGTGACAATGAGATTTATATACATAGATGTTATTCAAGCGGCAAGTCTTTAATGATCTTAAACCACCGATAAACCAGGGGTGTTCTTGGGGGTTACAATTGTGTACAGGATTAATATATGGTCCAATTAAACACCACTTGCCGCCACTCACAAGCAAAATTTTAAAAATAATATTTATACACTTGTTTCAGTACTTGTTAAACTTTTAAGCAAGAGTAAACTTTCATTCTTCATAGCAAAAAAAAATAACCCTAGTGTATTATACTTTTTTTAATTTTGCTTGTAAGTGGTTGTGAGCGGTTCCAAGAGTTTAGTGATCCTTAATAAATTTTTATTTTTTCTGTACATACCGATCATCATCATCATCATCCTATAATGTGCATAAACCTCAAATGAGTATATTCGCACAGTGTTGGTGGTCAATTATGTTCACTTGAGAAAATTAACGGATGTGAATATCAGATACCCTGTCCTTGAATGTGTTGATCATGGATGAATAAATATTTTGTTCCATTTATGTTTGGAGCAATATATTGTACTCTAGACCTGTTTCTTCATTGTTCACTTGTTGTCCATATGTTTTATATTCATAAGGACCCACAAGAAAGTGAGGATCAAGATCATGGATTATGCTTACAGATATTTGGAAACATTAATTAATTATCAAATGCTACCTAATAATATATACTGTATATTAAAAAAAAGGAAAATAGCAAAAATTTTAAAATATTATGAAATTTAGAGGGCGCTGTTGTAATTTCGTCTGATAATAAATAATGAGAATAAGCAGAATCCATATTTCGCGGGAAGAAAAAAATCTAGGAAAATCGGACAAGACAGACCAGAAAAGATGATGTAGAGGTCAAAGAGTTTAAGTTGTTCAGAAATACACTGGTATACCATTAAGTTCAACTTTTTCAGTTATGCGCTAGATTTTTTTTAGTAAGGTCTAGATATACGGGAAACCAGTAAACCATAGGGTAGCAGCACCTCTGGTTAAAGCTATCTTGCTAATTTTACAGGGGAATCTCATGTGAACGAAAGGTTAACGTGATGAGACAGGAAGTGATCACTGGATTTTTTCCAGGGCAACTCCGACAGTTCTAATGTTATCAACAGCTTTCCAATACAGATGTCTTCTAACACTACTACAGCAATCAACATGTAGGGCTAGTATGTTTGCTAATTTATGTATTTATTTTATATTAAATGTCTGATATTATTAAACACTACCAGAATAATTATAACTACCTAGGGGGCCTAGCGCCTAGGCTACAAATACCAAACAAGGAGTAGGGCATAGAATTAAGGGTGAGGTGCAAGTAAATCTACCATATCATCTGCAAACCCCTATTTTATTCTTGAACAAGGCCCTAGATATGTCTATTTCAGTGTATACACAGAACTCTCCCCCTTCACACAATAGTCAGTAAATAGTACATCTCTCACTCTGCCTCTCTTCAAATTATAACAAGAACATATACTACAAGAGACAAATCCAGTGCACTTGAAGTGTATTTATTACTGTACCATTATTTAGTGTATAAAAATCGGAGTACACATTTGTGGCAAAGCAAGCCAAACCAGTCGCTCCTTACAAATTTTTAGTTATCAAATTAAACAGTAAAATGAGAGCTATAGGCTTAAAATGGTAAAAGAATCATTTAAATCTGACATGTTTGTTATGAAGTTGAAGATACAGCTGTTTAAAGAACAATATTTGACAAATCATCCTTCAAATTCACGATTTCAGACAGAAACCATTACTAAATTGTTAAAAATTGTTGTTTTAACATTGAAAATGGATTAGTAACATAGCATGATGTATAGATAAAGGTTAGTTTGGTGCAATAAAATAGATTTTAAAAAGTTGACAATCCAGCATGTTTTGGCTATTATCTCTGAAACACGATTTGCGACGAGTGACTGGTTTGGCTTGTCTTTGCCACATTTCATAAATTCAATCATTTCTGTGCTCAAGTTAATAGTTTGTATGTTAAATGTAGAAAGAGAAAGTTAATTTTAAAATTAGTTTTTATCATTTCCATAATCTGATGCAGAACCCCAGCGTAACCCAGGGGCGGATCCAGAGATGTACGAAAGGAGGGGACGAAAGTGGACCGATCGAGACAACACCACTGTATGGGGTCCGCCAAACTTTTGTTTACTGGGCACCCGAAAATAGCCTCTGAGGCATTTTTGGGCGATCAATTATTTCTTTTTCCTTCCTTCAGTTTTCCCCCTTTTTTTTAACTTTCTGAAAGGGGGAAACCCAGGCCAGCCCGCTGCCCCCCCCCCTCTAAATCCCCCTGTAACCTGCCATATTACAGTAATATGAGGTGACCTTTCATTTTATTCATTATTAAACTAATCTAAGTGTCAAATAAATAATAATTGTTTTTAACTGATATTTATGAATACATTTTTTTTTAAATTTTACACTCAAAGATAATTCAAGAGCCATAAAAAATTTCAATATTATAAACTTTATATACAGAATTATCAAATAATTTGCATTTGCATATTTAGCTTTCAATCAATATGACATATAGGTGTTTTTTAAAAATCAATCTCAGTGGTCTGATTCAACAGGCCCACTGCCCCAGCCAACAAAATTATTTAAAAAATTGAAGAAAAAAAGAAAATTACTGTATAGTGTGAGATGGGCGAAATCCATGGTGGGGCTGGGATGGTATTGACCCCTATCTGTAAAAGTCCTTCCCTGGGCTCTATTAAAATTTCTGGATCCGCCACTGAACCTTTCTACTCAAAAAATAAATATGAAGTTGTTTATAGTAAATAACTATTAACAATTACATAATAAATTGATACATTTTCTGTTAGTCTTGTGACCGACAGTTTTGTTGCTACTTAAACCGTTAAAAATTTTAAAATTGAAATATGGTTAGCCTTGACGACTTGTCTATAAAAGGCCTGAAATAGTATTTTATTGATTACACATAATATAATAATTCTGTATCTGCAATAATGTTTGTTTATTTGGCCTGTTTTTGTCAATCATTTCTGTGAGGTGAAGTTCAGTTGATTGACCTTCAGCAGTTGTTTAACCTTTACCATAACATTTTCTTCTCCTTCAGGACATTCACTCTCCGTAAGTCAGAAACATGTGAGGAGATTGGCATCAAGTTCTTCAAGTAATCTAACCAGGCACTTGGTAAACTCCAAGAATCTTATTGAGAAACACACAGTAGTATCAACCAATCACCTGTCCCCATCGATAAAGCTTCGTCTCATTACACCGGAATGTCCGTTATGGTACAGTGGGACTGATGATTGCCCCTTCAATGAGCCTTATTGGGCATTTTATTGGCCTGGGGGTCAAGCTTTGACCAGGTACAGTAGGAATTAGATATATGGGGCTTGCAATGCCAAACCACCATCAGTATTATAAAAACATGAAAATTGACTTTTTAAAATTAATCTTCTCTATGTTAAAGCTTTAAAATGATGGGTCATACTGGAATCAACTTACTATTGCTAAGGTTTATGAGTAAAAGTATCACAGCTTGTCTGTACTAAAGTATACAATACTGACACATTCGTTTGCTAATTACTCAGTTTAAAAATTAGCATTAGTATCAGTTTAACAATTAGCATTAGTATGCTGGTTTTGGTAAGGTAAGCCTTATACAGTTTTATTGAAATTAGACAAACTGGTAAAAAAAAGGTGAATGCCAACATTGGCTGCAACGCTAATATTAGGTAATACTGTAATTGAACAAAATGCTCCTACTGCTGATTATCAATTATTGAAAAGCATTTGGCACAACAGCATTGATGTTCAGTATTTAGGGATTCAAAACAATTCTCATAAGCAGTGGCGGACCTACCAGCGAGGAGTCGGGGGGGGGGAATTTCTCGTCTTTGGACAAGAATGAACCATGGACAATAGGTCAATGAATGAACCCCCTTTTGTCCGACACCACGATGATGATAAACCATCCTAAACCATAAAATCAATCCCTATGAACCCCACTGATTATATTTGGGACCCTGACCGAGGCTCTAGATGACCCATTAGTTCAGAATCCCAGTTTTTTTGAACCCCCTATAAAAAATTACTGGCGTCACCTTTACTCATAAGTAACATCAAAATTCATTGCTTTTTTATTTGGACAGGTTCATCCTAGATCATCCTGACATGTTCCGTGGAAAGTCTCTCCTGGATGTTGGCTGTGGGTGCGGTGCATCAGCTATTGCTGGAGCCATGGTTGGAGCAAGGACGGTGTTGGCCAATGACATTGACCCAGGTAATTATGATAATGATGAACTTGATAAAGGTCTGTTCTCTCCTGTCAAGCTCACTATATCATAGCTTTTATTCTCAACCCCCCCCAATCGGACGAGCATGGTTGTCGAACACTGGTCATCCGACGCCATGACACGGTTGTCGGACAAAAAAAAATACTACTTTGCCTATCTTAATAACGTTAATTTGATTGCCAATCCTTTAAAAAATTTTTCCAAAAGCACAATTTGATTTACACTAAGCCATACAAACTCTCTGTGAACTCTATCCTGGGGATTTATATTCCGGGACCCTGACTGAGGCTGGAGTGGCCTCTTGGAGGATGAAGATTTATGGGTCAATTTAAATGGGTTTTAGGACTAATGATAAATTTCCGCAACGCATCAATGATTTTAGGGCACATAGAAAAAATTATTAGATTATCACTTTTTTTTTTAATTAATGAGGGAGGGTGGTGTTTTTTTTTTTAAATCGGAACATTAGATTATTTTGGGAGGGACTGTTTATATTTGGTCTGTAATAGTAAATATTGTATAAAAACTGGTTTAATTTTATGAATTTGAAGTCACAAAACTGCATTATTTTATGCTGTTGAAATAATTGATGCAGCAAAAATTTTTTTTTTTAAATTTCCGCATCAATATTTCCCGATTTTTTGACGTGGGCGGGAGTGATAATCTAATAAATTTTCTATTTGCCCTTAATATATGCAAAATTTCTGGAGCAACTGCAAAAGTTCCAGTTCCGTAGAACTTAACTTTGCAAGTTGAAATAATTTAGGTGTAAGACTAAAATGACTAAACCCCACAGGTTTTCCAAGGGGTACTGTATGAGAGCCCTCATGACCCCTCTATAGTTAAGGGAACACCCAACTCTCAAACCATACTAAAGGTGATCTTCTCATTCCTAAGCCTAATCTAGAAATCTTTAAAACTTCATCCAGCTATAATGCTCCTTACATCTACAACTCTCTTCCACCGATTGTCCGTTCTAATTTCTCTTTCTCTTCTTTCAAATCCAACCTTCTTTCTATCTTCCATCCAACCTTGTGTAATTTTCCCTGTGGCCATCTCTTTTTGTTGCAATATTTTTAATCGTGATTTTGTTCTGTTTTAAAATTGTAAATTATTTATCTTTATTTAATCTTTTATAATTTTTCTATTTTTTGTTAGTTCAATTAATTATCTTCACATTAATTCTTTTGATTTATTTTTTATTTCAATTATTTTTCTCTCCAATATGTTAATTTTTTTTATTTTAATGTTTTCCTTAAATCCTTATTTTATATAATTTATATACTGTAGCCCTATATCTGTTTTTTTTCCCTGATTTTTAGTTCCTATGCATGTAATGCAATAGGAACTATTGTAATCACTTTCACATTTCTTTTGTTTTTTATTGTGTGTAGTATGTGTGTGCGTATGTGTGTAGACATTTATGCAAATGCGCATGCGTCAAAGAAAAGTTTTCCGACATTTTGTTTTACATCGCGATGCGAAGTTCAATGTGGATTTTCTGCAGAGTTCAGTCAGGGCTCACGCTAACCGATCGGCAAGTCGGCATGCATGAAATTATTTTGGTTTTACGGCAAAAAAAATCAACTGCTGTGGCATAGGTATTTTGAAGAAGGCCTAAAATAAAACAAAAAGGTTTTAATACTTGCTGAAATGCATCGTTTTTTCATTTAGATCTCCATTTTTCACTAACTCCATGCGACGTTTTTTTCTGTTGTATGAGTAGTCCATAGAGCTATTAAACAACTAGTGTTAACAAGATGGCGCAGCAATGCAGAGTTATGTATGTGTACCATCCAAGATGGCCGTCGTAGTAAAGTGCCACCTTCAGGCTTAGTATACATATTATTACATATTAATAAGCCCTCTGACTGACTATTATTTCATTAATGATAATGAGTAATGGTAATAACAAATTATTAAACTATTGTAGCCAAAACGAGGCCAAGTGGAGCATCTTATTCAAAAATAAAGTACCCAGGAATGAAAATTAAAATCGTGTACATTACACCCAAACACCGCAACGCTCGAGTTTCAAACATACGGGTAGCTAGCTGTACTGAACCCTCTGAGTAAATTGAGGGCGCAATTGCAAACGATGGTGTTTAGCGAAATTTGATTTGCTCATAGAGGTATAATAGCTCTATGGATTTGCTAAATCTATGGCAGCCATCTTGGATGGTACCCACACAGTTCTGCGTATTTCGAACATCGAATACATTGCGGTAAGCGCTCTAGTATTATTATTATCTCTATGGAGTAGTCATATTATGAAGGTACCATATCCCCCGACAGTTGGCTATACAGCAATGTACCCTTTGAATACAAATTGAAGACAAGTGAAGATATAAAGGCAGCCGACTGTCGGGTACATAACGATTATCTAACTTTCCACAAAAACATTAGGCCTAAGGCTAAGCTAGGCCTAGTTCAGTACAGTAGTTACTGCGATGTGAGGGTGGTAGATCGTTCAGTCAGTGATATCGTGTTATCGTCTAATACATTTTAATAATGTGTGTACAATTTAAGAATGCACCGCGTGGGTTGCTTTTTTTGTTATGCGGTAGTAGTATACGTAGCAGAGCAATCTAAGCCTAGCCTAGGGCCTAGATGGTATACGTTCTTGATCATTGTAATGAAAACTTCGGGTGACAGACGATTGGGCCCAACTGGT